CTAAGTAAATTCAAAAGCACATTGGTTTATTAGTTTGGTTTGGTTTTCAACCGAACCGAACCATTCGGTTTGAGAATAAACTCAACCAATTGTTTGTGTATATATTTTGGTTTGATTTGGTTTGAATCGGTTCGGTTAATTTGTTCACCCCTAAGCGAGAGGTTGAAGAGAACAATTAATATAAACAAAAAATCTTTTGGGCTGTTGATTTAATGATTTTTTTTAGTCCATGCAATTGAGAAAAAGCCTAAAACTCGGTCATATGGTACATACAATTGAGAAAAAGCCTAAAACTCCCATATGGTATATGTATTCTTCTTAACTAAATGAGCCAATTAAATTTTGGGGTCAAGGTAAATGTTTTATTGAGTTATGCTAAGAGCCAGTCCTGCACTTTCTGATGCATAATTATATATTAAAAAATACAACATGCAGTTTCAAAACAAATTTTGTCAACAAAATTATGATATGTATAATTGTAACTATAAGAAAATTAAGAATTTTTTTTTTGAAAATTAAAATTAAGAACTTGTTTGGTTAATATCAAATTATTTGATTTATTTTGTCCTTAACAACTTCATAATACAACAAAAAAATAAGATGACAAACAACACTTATATCTGTAAATCAAATTGAAAAACTTTAAACATGACAAAAATTTATATAATTTGCTTTATAAAAAAAAAAAGTTCATATAATTTTGTAAACGTGGACTGAAATCACGTGTGAGCGAACAACTTGGTGTTTGCAGTATCTTTCTCTGAAAAGATTGGTGGGACGAATAGAAAGCCCTTTTTTGAAAAACAAAAGATTGGTGGGAGAAAAGAAAAGAAAAGTTGAAGAAGTTAATACATGAGAAAACAATTGATATTATTAAGTCTCAGAAATCGACCAAAGACTGTTTTAGTTTGTATATATCGTTACATGCATGCAATGCAGACAAAGTGGTCCAAGTACACTTTTGATGTTTTGCATTTCTTTGTGCAAATGAGATTCGATCTCTCTGAGTCTCATCTCGATTATTGCATACGTGTTTGCATGCCTATGCTCACTCTCCTTCCACAATCTGATACACAAATTTTCTTGGTTTGACTGGATTTATTTATCAAATTCACAAAATAGATTGCCATTTTATACACATCCAAGATTTTTGGTTTTCAACTTGAACCAGACTCGGACCGTAGAAGAATCAAAACTCGAATCAAAAGAGAAATTCAAATATGCAAGGGTTTGAATAAAGACAAGCGATGAATTTTTTTGAAGAGAAGAGAGTTTTTTAGTAGAGAGTAGACAAATCATCAAGCTGTGCACATAATCATCATAAACACTTAAAAATACGTTTTTTTCACAGTTTTGAGCAATGGGTTTGGTTGCGGAAACACTGGGCATAACACCTCCCATTCTCTTCTAGATCGATCCTCAGGCCTCGTCCATCTGCTCCTGAACAAAAGAATATAAATAATTCAGCACACATAGTTTCTCAGAAATTTCAGTTTCAAGGACGTCTCTATATGATGCATATAATCACGGATATCAAGTACTATGATCAAAATCACACTAAGACTGAGTTCTCATAGTGAAGGGAGAGAGAGAGGGTATGTAGTCAAACAACTTCAAGATTATATGCATGAAGTGTAGAAAATCATGTTAAGCGATGTGAAGAGGAGTAACCTGCATATCGGAGGTCCAAAGGGTGAGATTGTCCCTCAGCAACTGCATTATGAGAGTGCTGTCTTTGTAGGATTCCTCTCCCAGTGTGTCAAGCTCAGCAATTGCTTCTTCAAAAGCCTACACAAGTAAATCCATTATAAAATAAAAAAATTAGAATGCCCTTGCATTGATAAAACACGTTGCATTACTAAAATGAGTCCTGATATTGGAAAACATGGTCCTTCCTTGTTCATCACAGAGTCTATGATTCTTAAAAAGAAACGGAATTTTGTTATTTAAGTTGATCTAAAATGAAGCACAATGGACCAAAGATCAGTTCCTTTTCAAACAAAACATCTTAAGAAAAACAAGGTACAACAGGAATAGTCAACCAGTGGTCAATCAATCCACTTAGTCAAAACATCAAGCAAGAAAGAGGAATACAACGACTTATTGTTTGTTACCATATATAGATACGCATATAGAGACAGATGATCTACTTGAGAGTCTTAAGTAGTGAAAAAAGAAGAACCAAGAAGAGTAACCTGTTTGGCCATGTTACAAGCTTTTTCTGAAGAATTGAGAATCTCATAGTAAAACACTGAGAAATTCAGGGCAAGACCAAGCCTTATCGGATGAGTAGGCGCCATATCAGCAGCTGCGATATCCTTCAAAAACATTACATTGACAATATGGACAAAATAAGTCTCCATCAGGACAGTTTCGTGAAGCAATTGTAGCTCTTTAAAGTCAATAAACTAAAATAGAAAAGCAAACAAAATCATCTAATAGATTTGATCAGGATAGTAGCTCAATTCGTAACCATTTCTAGATCAGGAACTAAATTACTAGATATGGAAGATATTCCCAATAGAAGAAATCTCAGAAACAGAGTCCCAAACCAAATCAGATCAACTCCAAAGTACCCAAAATCAGTACCTGAGCAGCCTTGTAAGCAAGCATGGTATCTTCAGCAGCAGTTTTCCTCTCATCTCCAGATTTAAACTCAGCCATATAACGATGATAATCACCTTTCATCTTCAAGTAAAATACCTTAGACTCACTCGCAGCAGCAGATGGGATCAGATGCGAATCAAGGAGCTTAAGGATCCCTGAGCAGACTGAAGAAAGCTCCGTCTCAACCTTAGATCTGTAATCCTTGACGAGCGATACGTGCTCGTCGTTCTTCCTACTCTCTTCCTTCTGCTCAATCGACGAAACAATCCTCCAGGCGGCGCGTAGAGATCCGATCACGTTTTTATACGCGACTGAGAGGAGATTCCTCTCTTCGACCGTGAGTTCTTCCGCCGGAGTAGCGCCAGTGACGAGCTTCTCCATGAATTGAACCATCTCTTCGTAACGCTCAGCTTGCTCGGCGAGCTTCGCCATGTACACATACTGGTCTCTGCCTAATGTCGCCGCCATT